GAGGGGTTCCGGCCAAAGGACATTGATCAAGGAAAGTCACTACTTCGTAAGAACAAGACGGAAAGAACAGTTCGTGCGACTTCGACGACGGAACGAAACAATTGACATTGCACAGTTTTTCGCAGAGACTGTCAGTCTGCAAGCGAAGAAAGTGTGTTTCTGAATTACTCACCTGCCGTCGGCGCAGCTGTGCTGGATAAATTTCTACTCGGCCTAGCAGGCTGAACCTAGAAATAAGGTCCAAAACCTGCAAGTTTCGATATGCTTCCAGAGCGAATAAAGCACATTACGACCAGTACTGGAAGCACTCGATAAAGATTCGCAGCTGGAGCTAGCAAAGGCTCTTCCACAATGGACGCCGTGTTGTCATGAAACCGAATGGAGAAGAATGCTAGAACTCCGAGTCAACTCGATCATAGGCCTGGAATCCTCGCAACACCGTTGAGGGCGCGAAGACATTTGCTAAGCCGCGGCCGGATGCCATTGGATCACTAGACTTCCAACGAAGGAAAGAGCCAAAAAGTCAAATCAACAGCAGCCACGCAAGGCCAAAGAGTGAATGATATCGTGTGCCACGGAGAGCTTCTCTTAGGAAATCAATAGCCCAGAATCATATCTAGATTCATAGCTGTCCGCCACTTGGCCGGCGAAGTATTGAAAGTTTCCTTGCAATTGGCAATCGGGTTGGGAGCTTGATGAAGGTCAGAATGCTCCATGGAGTTATCCACTGAACCAATACCCCAAACTGCAATAGGTGCTCGATTCCATTCAAAGGTCCAAGAAAGGTTGTTTGAATCTCCGGAACTGTTGTGTTTATGCAAGGATATAATACGCAGAGACCTTAGTGTTTCATCGTTAACACTAAGCTCCAGTGTCGCTCTTCACGATGAAGTCGAATCCAGCAGCTTTGATCTAACCATCTCAGCAATAGCTTAGTCCGGGAGGCCCCCTTCACAGAAAATATCCCCTGTATGAGCGGAGGAGCCGTCACTGAATCTGGGCGGAGCATTCTTTGGGGAAAGGCAAAGAGACTCATACGGGGATGCCAAAGCTGACGATGCTTTGATTCGACGTGATCAATTCGATGTTCGATAATCGGCTCGGTGATATGTTGAAACAGTTGGAAACAAAGGTAGGCTGTCGAATAGCAACGAACAGTCGCGCAGCGGAGGTATGGATACTCTGTGGTTGATGTGATCAACCGTGAAGTCTGCTACCACAATGACATGAGTTAGCACCGAGGCTTCGGATAGCAATATACAATAGATCGCTATCAACAGTACGATCGGAAAGAAAGCTGAATAAGATTTAAGAACTCAGCACGATAAACCGCTACCTGGGAGCGTGTGGATGTTTGAGGACATCGGTGATGGCGACCAAAGGAAACGTACTCACTGTCCTTCCTGAAGGGAAGAATGGGTGCTGGCTTGTTTTCTCAAAGAATCATATTACAACAAAGCAGCAGCGGATATTTAAATTCTGCTCTGACGTCTCAATCAGTTTCAAAAGACAAGATGATCTGAGGACTTGCAGCAGTTAAAGAAAGATCTGGTAGCGGGACTGCCCTGCCAAGAGGTGGTCGGTACTCTGGCCACGTGCTGCCCTTTTCAACGAAATGTGCCCACACGCCCCGAACAGCCACCCGCAACATCGAGCTAGTTGGTTATTCTCACACTCCCTACCAGTTTGGGACTATTCTTTGCGTCAGAAACCTAGACCACGGCAGTTTGCCTACTGGGAAGCTTCCGGAAGTACATGTACACAATTATTCTTCAAGAAGACGTCACGAGAATTTGGCCAAGTTCCTGAGGGTGCAAGCAGAGGCTCTAAGCGACGGCTTTCAATCTTCCCAAGGTTTGTACTTAGGCGAAAATAGTATCTAACTATGCTTCATCGAAGCCTCGTGCCAGGTTAAAGGCTGGGACAGTCACAGAGCGAGCCCCTGAGACTGCGAGACACTTCACTAGAGAAGCACCATTCAACGCAGCGTTCGATACGAGGATCCAGCGCCACCAGACTGCCCATCACTGCCCACCCCGTAAGACTTGAGCCCAGAGTGGCAGGATAGCAACTTTCTTACACACCGAGTCATCGTCTATGTCAGGGGCTGTGATACGCTGCCTAGCCTTCAATATCATACGCGCCAGGTGTAACCACCACCGCTTTATTCGGACCCTCTGTCGACGCGAGAAAAATGTTGGCTCTGCAAAAGGTTTGGAATACTGAGTCTTCCATGAGAGGCCTCTACGGTCGTTGACATGACCCTATGGACATTTGGAGCAACGTGAATCCTCCACACGATGATATCCGTCAATGGTCAATCAAGGTAGGAGTTACACATCCAGGCATCTACAACCTGGAATTTCTAATAGCAAGTGGCTTATGGAACGCGTCAGCCGATTAGCATTGGTTATGTGGGTATCATCCAAAGCAAGCTTCAATTCCAGGAAGTGTCTGGTAGTTGTGGTTGAAGGGAGTAAAAGTATAGGAGAAGTTGGCGGTACCGGTTTCTGAACCAAATGTGAAAGACAAATAAAGTATCGGTAGTCAAGTCAAAACTCTCGCTGTCGGGGAGATGAGAGGTCCGTCCAGTACAGAGGGGTCACTGGCCAGTTTTAGGCCCCGACGATCCGTGCCGCTCTTGTAGCCCCTTTCCCCAACTGATACAAAATTAAGACCTTGTCCAGAGCAGAACACAGCCTCACTGGGTGCGGTCTAGTATTAGGCCGTATGCTGGCTTGCTAAGCTACGCGTATGTGAGGTTGGAGTAGAGTGCGTCTGTCATGTGGCGGGGAACGTGACGGCGACTCAACCGGGCGTGTCTAGGGAAGAGGCGCTGTCCCTGCATCCAGGTCTAAGTCACATTCGAACGCAGCCATTCTGAGCTGCACATATATATAGATGTTGGATTCCACCCTCAATGTTATGACTTTGGACAACATTCAGCTCATTGCGTTTCGGCTTGGACAACAGAATGCTCGATATTCCCCTCGAGGACCTCCAGAATCGTGGTCCCTTCGAACCCCGTCGACCTTATTCATCGATTTCGGATCCCAGCGGCACGCATCGCAAACGCCAGACAATGGGGAATTTTATCTTGATTCTATCCTATGCCATCGATTGGGTTTTACTCATCGCATTTGCCGTGGCAGGCTTGCTGCTTGGCAATCTGTCGCCACAAAAACGGCCCTTCAACCTGGAGAACCCAGATATCAGCTTTCCGCTCCACAGCGATACTGTCTCTGTGACGAATTTACTACTCCTGAGTGTCGCACTACCAATAGTGGTGATCTTTGGAGTAGTCATTCTGTTCGTACCAGGAGGAACAGTTCCCAGAGATACTCCAAGGTCCCTTGTTTGGAGTAGAAAGATTTGGGAAGTGCACGCAGGATGGCTGGGACTCATCCTCTCGGTCGTGACGACCTGGTTCATCGTGAGCACAACAAAGAACCTACTCGGGAAACCTCGACCAAATGCATTGGCCCGCTGCCAGCCCGATCTCGACAATCTGGCCCAGTACATTGTTGGTGGCATATCAAACACCACCACCGTCGCAATGGGACAGCTCGTATCGGCCGACATCTGCACCAACCCTGACAAGAGTGTTATTGATGAGGGGTTCCGCAGCTTTCCGTCCGGGCATTCATCCGTCGCAGCTTCAGGACTCATCTATCTCATGCTCTTCTTGGCGAGTAAACTTGGGGTAGCCGCGCCGTGGGCACCTCAGGGGGTACACCTGGGAGCTACCCATCACTCTGCATTCCCTTCGCGCATCGATGGGGAGAGCTTGGCGAGAGAAAGTCAGACGGGCAGGCTCCCCGAGCAAGTAATCCCGTTTCGAAGACAAGCAGCAGCTCCACCCGTCTATCTTGTGGTGCTCACCCTTGTTCCATTTGCGTTGTGCATCTTTATCTGCGCTTCCAGATGGTACGACTTCCAACACCACGGCTTCGACATCTTGTTCGCTTTCGCTATCGGCGCTACCTCATCTTACGTTGCGTTCCGCTTCTACCATCTACCTATTAGTGGAGGCGCTGGCTGGGCTTGGGCCCCTCGAAGCGAAGATGCCGCGTTCTGGGCGGGTGTGGGCAAACAAGGATATCGCCACAGTTCTACCAAGCTTCGGCAAGATTCTGTATGCTGAAAGACATTCCCCGTTTAGCACATTCGGGTCAAAAGATTTCAGCCGAACCCACCAATCACCACATTTGTATTACAAGTAATGGCGCAGACTAGCACGCATTGATGTACAGTAAAGATGGCTTCTCATCTCATGGTCAGGGGACCAAAAGCGAATACCTACTCGGAGAATCAGTCGTAGCGTTGATAGCTTGAATCTACCGTGTCACACGTCACAATCCAAGGTCTCTTTCAAGAAATCTGCCCAGGCAGGTGCCGATTTGTTGAGATATTCGACCTAAAGAGTATGCGTACTAGCTGATCGTTTGAATGTGGAATCTCGAAGCTGTCAAGGGGCTCGGATTTAGCTCCTAGGTGCCCGGAGACCGAGCGAGGGGCACTTGTCATGTCTGGATTGTCAATCCTGCCACAATGACCGAGCTCTCCGCTCACACCAGCTAAATTTAGACCCATGCTAGGGCATCGACTAGCCATGAATTATGGGAAGCCGTTTCTTTGCTACGTTAGAGGTCATTCATAATCTCATAATGTTTTCCAAAGCTGGCCAGGTTGCCCACGTGCTTCATGTCGGAAGATGGAATACGGTATTCCATCCGATGCCCGGACCTTTATTTCGTGCAGTTCCGAAAGAATATGGATCTCACTGAGATTGAGAAGGTGGCTTACAGGCGAAAGACTTATGGATTAATGGTCATCTTTATGAGTGACTAGTGAGAAGTGATGTACTACACCGAAGTAGCTGCGATGAAGATTCCTGTCATGCCGGTAGCTTGGCCATTTGTAAAAGCCATCCGTTCTCGTGAATGGCCCTGGTCTTCCTTCAAGCCATGATATCAACTTGTATACTCGAAACGCTAAACTCACCATCCAAAGTTTTCGCAGTGTACCTCTACGCTGATATCGCCAGTGGCAATACAGTGTGCAGCAGCGTTCTGGACAATCTCGGTCAGTGACTGCGGGCCGCAAGCAGCAATCAACACCCGCTGACCAGGCGCAGCTGACTGTAGCGTTTGATTGATGGCCTCCCCAGCTCTCAACTTGTCAAATTTGATATCGCACAGCCCCTCAAGACCTAACGATCCGTCTCCCTGTGGTACTGCCGCAGTCGAAGGGAGAGTTTCCTTGTTCTGCTCCGTTCCAGGCTCTGGTAAAAGAGCTTCAACCTTCTCGTTCGGTGACTTCAGGGAAGTGGGCGATGAGACATTTTCGGACGACTCGCTCAAGGAGGCCGTGGAGCCCTCTCGGGTAACGTGCAGTAACACGTTCACCCCTGCGCCGTGTTGGCTCAGTGACTGAAGGTGATCCGTGAACCATTCTAGATTTTCTGTCACACACGTTAGCGTTCACTCCACATGTGTTATTGATCAGACTAGACAAACCCCTCTTTCTGACGGCCCAGATAAAGTCAACACGTTTGTGAGATTCAGACTCCAGGTGCTGTAAGAGGCTGGTAGCCAGACCGAAGGTAAACGTTGCCCCGCTACCACCGGCAATCAAGACCACCTTGTCGTAGTTCTTCGGGTTAGGGAATGCTCCATAGGGTCCGTCGACGGAAGCCCACACGGTTGTCCCAGCCTCGGTATTAGCTAGATCATGCAAAGCCTTGGTGAAACCATCATAGGAGCTGAGGACCAGCTCCAGCCCCCCGTGAGGGGTGTTGGAAACGATGGTGAAGGGGTGTGTTTGGAATGGGCGAACACCGGGAATCCAAACGAAGCAGTGCGAGCCGGGAGTGGCTCCCGACAGAGGTTTCTTGATGACCAGACGAACACCATTGTCTGGCAACCGATAGATGGTGGCGCTGTTGTTGACAAGGTTGTACAACATCCTCGACCCTCGAATCAGACGGTCAAGTCCCCAAATTGCAGCGATGAAGACCATCGCCACAGGGATCTTCCATATCCAATAGGGTCTATGAAGCCCAGTGAAAATAACGGCGAGCAGGAATCCTACCAGGTGGCTCACATAAAACCATTCGTAGCCAAGATTTCTTGCCAAGCCCATGAGCAGGAGGACCATGGCAAAGCCTGCGCCAATGCCCTCCCAATTTTGCACCTCAAGCAGGGTGCTCCACCGGTCCTGCATTCCGTAATACACCATGTAAAAGATGGCGTGAAGGAGCATCTGAAGTACGGCCGCGTACCCGGCCAGACGGTGGAAGAAGTTGAGTCTTTCGTAGGAATGACCGGTCAAGACGCCAAGGGGAGTATTCTTCAGACCGAAGAAGACACAGAGCGCCATGTTTGCCGTTGACATCCTGCACATAATATATTAGCACCCAAGAAGATGACAGAGGGGCCCTTGAATTCTGACCATCCAAATCTTGCAGCAAAATTGCTCATCTTTGCCTTATCGACGTTATGAAAAGACATGACGATATTGACACCGACGAAAGCAATGGTCAGCAAGGCATGGCCTCCCGTTGGAAACCCCGGCACCTTGCGAACCAGTAGGCTGCGTATTTTTCTGCCGGTTGTTAGGGCTGATCGAGCGCCAAGTGATTTCTGACGATAGTCTTACCTAGAAGCCTTGGCAAGGGACGAAGATGAGCCAGTTCTTGGCGATTTTGATGTTCTGCGTCTGATCCATTGCGCCCAATGGTAGATAATAAGAGCCGCAATGACACCCGCGACTACTCCCGCATATACCTTGACATTCCACTCATTCAAGAGCTGTCGTGCGTTGGGTGGCTTCGGTTTCTTGGCTGCACGGGGCTCGATCATGTTTGTCAACGTTAGATGCTGGACAAAGCGTCCAGTCGACAGCGATATTGGTATGAGCAAAAGTGACAGGCCCTCTCTCGGATCAAACTACCGTATCTCAAGGTGATCTTGCGAGTCTCCTCAGGCACTTATATCAAATACCGAGAAAGAAAATAAGAAATAAAATTTTGCCTACGTATCAATCTAACTCCAGCGAAATAGTCAAAGTGCGGGACGTTCATCCCTTGTTCCACTATCAGATGCAATGATTTGTATCACGGACAACTTCCTTGGTCGAGAACCTCATTTTCGTATCATGTTCCCACTGAAAATGCCGCATCACTTGCAAGACTGCGAACATCGGACGGCTGAATGTGACATGGAAAAGTCAATCATTAGCTTCACGATGGCCCTGATTGGATCTAATCAGATGTCTAGATAATCTTTCGCGCTAAAGCCACACACGCCGGTGGGTTAGGTTCTGGCCTAGATCGTATCTCGAAAAGAAAAATGACTCGCTTTCGATGTCGATCTACTTACCAGTGACTTGTGTGACTTGTTGACTTCTCGACGCGAGAATGGAGATCTGAAGTCTTCGGGTATGTGACAGTGGGTATCAAAAAGACCATGAGGACCCACGAATAAGTCCAAGAAGATGCATGTGTGAGGTTGGTAGGTTCGAGGATTCTACGCTTACGAATTCTATCGCCATTTGATACCCACTTGAAGACTTTCTTCACGTACGCCCCCAACAAATTCCCAAGGTTCCAGCGGCTTGAGTGGGTTTGATAGGATTTCGACCTTAGTTGACTGGACCACGGAATGGTATCTCGCCTTGTGGACTCGTAAGGTCTTTCTGATTCCACCCTTAAGGAGTACACGATCCTAGTTTTGCCGGGTTCATCGGAGGAATTGCGACGGATAAAACAGGCTAGGAAAAAAGTCTGTTGGGCGGCCGCTTGGGACCTCGTACGTCAGAGGAGACTAATCGCAGGGTCCGAAGCCTAATTTCGGTAGGTTGTCACGACAAACGATGCCCAAAGTAACCTTGTTTACTATCCTAGTATTTCCCTAATCACAGAACACTGTCAACACCATCCGAGGGACTTCAACTACACCTTGTAATCTCGTCAAGCTAGAGTTGACGTGAAGAGTTCTTCGTACTGAAAGAGTGCTGAATGAACGATGGTCGTTCAGAGCCGTCTCGGTTGCGTGTTAGGACTTCGGGCGCGGAAACAGTTACCGTAGAAAGGAACGAATCATGGCTAAGCGAAGGAATGAATCAGGAAGTTGCTTGTCATAGTTTTAAAAAGCGGGTACAGCTCTCCGCTCCACGTGGATATTCGAAACTACGTCTGAGAAAGGCATCTGGGGGGGTGGACAGACACGGACTTGTGGACAGACGCTACGGATACCTATTCGACTCAACCAATCGACAAAGTATTCAACAGCCGCGCCAAAGTGGGATCGGGAATAAAACTTTTTCAGCCCATGTTTTAGTCCTGCTAATCAGAAAATCGTCCTGGCTTCAGCCCCAACCGGTGCTTCGGGTCAATCCGACTTGGCTTTTTGGGGGGGCACCACTTGACAAGCTTTTTTGACCATATCTCCGAGATCGCAACTCCGAGCATTTTTGAGCTCGTACGACCGAGCCCTGTCTGTTAGTCGCAACCATGTTTCTTAATCATGTCTGACATTACCTCACATTGGCGGTTGCAATAAGTTTAGATTTTGGAATAGAGTGGCAAGGTCCCCGCCATGTGTAAAATTCGCTTGCAAGAATTCAACATGTTCTAGCTAGTTCTGGGTCGCACAGGCTCATATCTCACTTCTCAGAGCGACGGTGTTGTTGTAGTCCGCCGTGACCTCACTGGGTCTCGTTGAAACCGGGCGGAACGCAACTTGGTTGCATGAGATGGTGAACCTCGGGTAACCTTCTCTGGACCACTCTTTTCCACCCCACGAGTAGGCTATTCCGCGTACTTGAAGACAATGATTACAGACATATGGCTACACAGCGGGACAAAATTGGGCCATTATTCTGGATTTCTAAACAATGACCCACGAGAAGATCGATCAAAAGCCGACTACATCCTGATGTTGAGCCAATTACATGAGAGATCGAGCACACGTGTATAGGGGAATCTTTAAATGCCTACTTACTGTGAAGTTGATAATAGTATTGGTGAAGGGCGAAGATCTAGGGACATGAGGCACGCGCCTTCGTGGATACTTGGAGGCAAAGTGTACTCGTTCATGGAGTTAACGGACTGTACGCAGAATTTACCATGCTAATGGCTGACATGACTACGTGGCCCAACAATCCTGACGCCCAAGGTGTGTGGTTTTCTAAGTCCAATCCACTTGAAGAGCAGTGCGGTGTAATTCGATTGAGGCCACACGGCGTAACTCGGGCACATACGGATATTCGGTATTAGAAGGCATGTCGCTTGCCCCAGAACCCCCCTAGAAACAAGTATGAAGAGTAGGCAATCGTCAATGAAACCGTGGGGTCTTACAGCGTGGTAGCTGTAGGCGCCTTCCCCAAGTCGTGACTATAATCATCCGACCTCGAATCGATGTCTCTTTTGAGATGGTTCCAGTCGGGTTGTTGTACGGACCCTCTCATGACTCCAAGACTCCCAGTGAAAGCGGGTAAGGATCAGGGGGTCAGAAGTGCGATTCCGGTGGAGTTTTCCCAAGCCAATACCAGTATAGATGGATTTGCTGACAATCGTGGGGGTGTAATGAACGAGACGGACTCTACAGGGGACTCTGGTTACCAAGTTCTTGGGAAGCATGTAGTGTAAATCTCTGTAGTGGAAGCAAGAAGGCCGGCTACCGCATAGTGCCGGCAAACCAGCCGCCTTGGCTTGCGGGGAGACGTCAGGAAGATAGTGACCAGGTGCCCGACTGTGGACACTGATCGCCCATATTGTCGCCGACCTATTCGCACATAGTATACTAAGTATCTTTGTCATGGTTTACAGAATAGGCAATGACACCCCAAGAAAATGCCAGTGGTCTGAGTTGACCGTGGCTTATTGCTAAGTTCAAAGTGGTCTGGTATCTATCGCCGAGTTGGCAGCTCGGAAGGCCGAGGGATCGTAGCTACAGCCTACGCCACGTTCTGGTCTGCCCGTCGAGAGAGTCCCACTCGGGGGAAAGCCCGCGCCACCCAGGCGCGTTTGATATGAAGCAATGTCTCTGCGTGACCGTGGGACGATATCGCTCCGGCCTCAAAAAAGTCTTCTGATGCTAGTGGAGGTTGGGTAAATAGCCCCCTGAAGTTACTTCTTTTACCTTTCTGCAGCTCTCCTCACCGGGTCCGCCCAGTCACACGCTGCAGTCTTCCTATCTTGTAGAACGCTACTATCCGAAGGATGGTGGGCCGTTGGGTCTAGGTAAAGGCTAGTAGATCTAAATCTATGCCTCATGCAGGCGTGGCTGTATTCCTCGCCGAGTAAGGCGATGAGAAAACATTTCATGCCATGGCCCCGTATGACTGCTCGCGTGTTAATGGGGCAACATGAAGCGGGGTCCAAATGCTTGGTTGGTCCGCCAAGAGCGTTGAAGCAGTGCTCCAAGTAAATTGTTAGGAGTCAAATCAGTGACACGTCCAAGGAGAAGATGAAGACTGAGTAAACAATTGGTGCCTAGCATAACAGTGGGTTCACCGCATGGTTTAATGCTGTGGGCTTGTACTAACAATCATCCAAAGTTCGAGGCTAGTGGAAGAAGCAAGGTTGATGACTATTCAGATATTTATTCGAAATACAATGTATTGACCTGGACCAGCGACTCCAGAATATTGGCATCGAGACCGAAATCTAGGTACCGTGTGTACCCATTCACTAACATTATCGCTCCCTCCATGCATGACAGCCGGCAACACCACGGTGTTCAAGCTAAATAAAATCCGAGCCCGCCATCTTGCCCAACTATTTGAGTGCGCTTGTGGTGGTTGACATATCCTTCCTGGGTTCGTTGATGGAGTGTTCGGTAGGCGTAGATGTTCCAGGCATTTCCTCGGTGGACTCAACCTTGCCAGCAGCCTTTGGCTTCATGAGGGGCCAGTGACCATTGACTTCGTGGAATCTTAAAAGGACAAGCCAAGAGATGACAAAGATCCAGTAAACGTTATACGAGATGACAGATCCGTAGGTAGCAGAGTTGTTCCAGCCGAAGATGGCGTTCAGGAGACCCCATCCACCGCCGCCGTTCAATTGAGGGCTGCAGCACTGCGAGAAGTCAGTATCACGATCTCATGTCCCTATTCAGCGCGAGTTTGAATACTTACGTTAACGTGCCAAACGCTTCTATCGATATCGTAGGATCCAGGGCCCGCGCCAACCTCAGCAGCGTCACCACCGACAGCTGTGTTCCATTCCTGGGCTTCGAAGAACCACACGGCACGTGAAAACAAACCAGCAGCGACGATGTAGAGCAAGCAAGTAGAGGCGACGAGGAAGATTTGAATCTTGGAAGTAGATCCACTCCTGTAAATTTCGTGTTAGAGGCATCCAGCGTGAATTTCTA